AAAGTGTTTTTTATACAATTAATTTTAATAACAAACAATGGGCATCAAAATCCTCTACCTCACTGAAGCAAAAATTACAATTAGGCTACGTAACGTTTTAAAAGTGGAAATTGGAGAGATCAGGGTAATAGCACCGTTATTCATTGAATTTTTGTTTTGCTCTCCAACTTACGTTTTAAATCACAATCCGATGTAATTCTAACAGCAAGTCTATGGCTCATTATTGGCATAATCAGTTAGATGTTGTTTTTTTTTACCGTTCATGTTAAGGTGCATAAATGTTAAAATTGAATTTACACTGCCTAACCTGTTGCTGGCAAATCCATCAACAAATTAAGGATGACTGTGGAAGAAAATAAGCAAATAAATTGATTGTTATCTCAAGAATAACATTTGAGACAATGAAAAAGTTTATTAGATTTCGAGTTAGATGGTGCTAATGCATTTTATTTGCTACACGCCCTTTGATATCTACCCACGAATTTATTACCTTAGTAGGGAGCAGACAGAGAAAATTTGATAAACGCCGCATCTCCGCAATTTACCAACCAGCTGAACAAAACTTCTTAAATGTGGAAAATATTTTTAAGGATACGGTACACCTTCGCGAATGTACTCCGGAAAATTCTTTAAACGGGTTATTCGGAGTGCAACCAAATTATAAAACAATGAAAAGGATGTAAAATGCGCTATCCAGAATAAAAATAGTGTTTCGTTTTGGTTTGCAGCAATTCAAAACGGACGACGGCTGTTTCTTTAAGCGAAGGAATCGGGTTTCAAATCTGACCACTCAAATAACACTTCTGCACAATTTGAATCTTGAGCGATTGGTCTCCGAAATTTTGTGAGGAAATTTCCATATTCTTGGGTGTTACTAAACTATGGATCAGCAGACCGTGGAACCTCCGGAACCCATATATATATATATATTTGTTTTTTTTTTTTTTTTGTATATGAAGAGCAATGAGATAAGTATAAAGTTTGCTCTCGGGTACAAAGAAGAGAAATATGTTTAAACTTTCCATGACGTCCGATTTGGCGAGCAGTTAGCAGTCATTTACCCTGCGTATTAATAATTAAAAAATAATTTGAAAGCTTAAACGGTTTGAATTCCGCAATATATGAATAACGCCTCATCCGAAGGCTCTCAGAGAACCTTTAGGCTGGAATTTATTGCACATGACCCTGGAATGAGGAACACGAGGCATAAAGTAACATTATCGCCCGTAATGCTCGTAGAATTTCAGGGTAATCCATTAAACACGACTGGATAGAGGACTTTATTAAAAGCCCAATTTTTTTACTTGAGCATAAATCAAAAAAGAAAAAAAAGGAGTTCATTGCTGAATTTTAATACATAAAAAATATTATATTTTTAAGGGTTATTTCAATTATGTTTCTGTGAGTGCACTTCATATTAACCCCTGAGCTTATTCTGAAAATCAATTATCAAAATTCAAGAAGAGGTATGGTGTTTTAACGTACGATGATTAAGGAAAAAGTGCACCAATTCAACCATTTTTTCCAACCCCCCGGTCGAATATCAAACTTGAAATCAGTCTAATCTAGTTCCAATTTAAGTGGACCCTGTTGATTAAGTTCGATCGTTTGTCTAAGCACGTCGAATGTACAGCAACCATCTGAAGCATAAAAAGAGGAGACGTCTATCCATTTTGATATCTTGTCATAATGACATAAAACGACAGCAATTAAGCTATCCCTGCATCCTTAATATGGCTGCCAAAGCTGTTTTGTGGACCACCATGACGCAAACAACATGACCACCGCGTGAATGTCTCGCTTGTGCTATTTGCTTTATGATTACTTTGCTCATATAGTTTAAATTGCTTCAGGAATCCAATTTATAAGAGATCCTTCTTCAGTTATAAACTAAGAGTTTAATGCGGACATCTTTAGAGTCTGGTTTGTTTTGTTTTAATTAAGAGTGCCAAATAACCACCACCTGACAATTTTTTTCACGGATTAGTTTGGCTGACTTTCACAGGACGTCCCGAAATCGATATAAATGTTTCGCAAATGGAAAGTCAAGATATTACTGAGGTAGTTCTAACATAGCGCACAACTTTTAAAAAAAAATTCACACTTTGTTGGACTCAGTTGTACTCATCTCGCAATTCATCGAGCACATGGTACTAATATAGGTTGCTGTCAATAGCTGTCTTTGCACTTATACGAATGTGTCATTCCGGGTTTTTAATTTTTTTCTAATTATTTGGAATTGTATGGAAAGTGAAAAATATTGAGAAACCTATAATAATGATAATGTGGATGATACAAAGATCTCCAAGTTTTGCTTTAATGATGAACCAATAGGTTAGGAAGGACATGTGTAGAGTTTGGTTTGTTTCGTTATTAGAGTTTCGTGGGAGTAAAAATCGAAATTAATATTTAAAAAATGGAAAGTTAATTTCGACGGTGTCATAGCTACCTAAGAAAAAACAGGAATAACTAGCGTCGTACTTACCCAGCACAAAGCATGTTAAAAGGGTTTTGGAAGTTTTGACGGATTCATTGCCATTTATCATCCACTTCATCGTAACCAAGATAATCAAAGGTTTGCCGTTGAGAGTTATCATTACACTTACAGTTGATTCAACACGCTTTAGAGTTGCGGATTTGCGGCATCCTCGTAAAACCCCTTCGTACGATTTAGAGTTTAATGCAAATCATGATCTCTGATCACATGGTGATGACGTTTGTCTCCATTTTTGTTCTTTCTGTCATAGACGGACCAATGGACAAAAAGCAGCTTCCACCAGATGTAGAGCATTGTTTTTCTTAATACAATCGAAAAAATCCACCGCATTATAAAACACTTTTTGTAGTTGAAGTTTTGTAAAGAAGCAGCTCAAAAGTAATTGATGTTAAGAATGGTAGTTTCTTTATGAGCTCTGCTATATGAAAGTTGTCTTAAACAAACTTCTGTTTTATCAACGGGTAGCTAAAGCTAGTATACCATCTGTTCGTATGCATAAATGGAAATGGTTCCTTTTTATTCATCTCGCCTATTACGAGATGGTGGGTCTAATTAATTCGTATGCCTTCAACAGTGATGGACTAACTCGCTCTTGTGTTAATTAAGGTGTATTATTATTTTTATACCACGGCAAACTCCGAGTCAAAGGATTTCTTCTCGGTTATCTCAGATCATAAGTTCTATGTGAGTTTACATAAAGTTAATCGTTACTTGATCAGAAAACCAACGGAGGCTAACGGCCATAGTTTAATGTTCAGCCTCCAAAACAACTCTCCCCTGCAAAAGCGTCATGCAGACCATCACTTTTGTGTTCAAATGTTTGAATTCAAACATTTTAGAAGGGTCAGAGTGATGTGCTCTGTAGGCGAGACATTATACTCTACTACTAATCTCTCTGCGCTCAAGGAATAATTGATTATTTATCCTGGAATATTCCCTAGTCCTAGTTGCCGTATATTTAGTCGATCGAAGCTTGAAGCGCTTTGACCTATTGCATTTGAGCGGTGTAGATAGAAATATACTTGCATATTCCAGGATAATTATTATTATTTTTTTACTTCTTCCGCCTAAATCGTACGCTACGTCATCCATGTATATTTATAAATGGGTATGACAACCTAGACTGTTGTAAATAATCGACTCCTTCTCTGGCTTGTTGAAATTCCTATTCAACGCTTCGTCTCCGCTTCTCACTTTAAATTGTATACTCTGTGTAAAAGTTCTTTAATTGCTGTTGAATGATGTGTACCGAATAGTTTATAATCTCTTGGTTTATGCCATTTCCGGCTAACATTGGCCCAGTTGAATTCCCTATCAATCGATGTATTTTCGATTCAAACCGATACTCCTTATCTTAGGAATAGCGAATAACAAATGGGTAAATGTAACTGATCCACAAAAGATCCAATCATAAGGGTTTTTCTGTTCTTTCTAAATTAGTTATTTATTAAAAAATTTACGTATTCATCTACTTATTCATTAAGCAACAACTTTGAATGTCAGCGTCATGTGCGGAGACTATTATTATTATTTAACCTAGAGAAAGAACATCATTTATCAACAAACCCAACTCATTTATTAATAAGTTATTAATTTATTAGTAATATTCTTACCAAGGAGCGACTCTTAAAGGAAGTAGAATAATTATCCTTAAATAAACTGATAGAAGCGCATCACAAACTATTTCCTAGCTCAACACTGACACAATCTTACAGTTGTCTCCAAAGTGCCTCCAAATTAACAATCTCCCACAGTAGCTCTCTCTCGATATAGCTTTCTGAAAATTCAGTCACTCCCGACAACAACAAGTACTACTGCTGCACGACTGTCAGGCCTTATGTACAAAGCATTTTCAAAAATTCCGGAAGCTTACAACACAACTATATTGGTAGTGCATTTACATCATAACTACGTTACCTAATAAAATGCTCCAGAAAGTTCCTTGGTTTTTCATTTCTGCATGACTGGGCTTCAGTTATTATTATCCATAGTAAAAAGTAATGACAGTGTTGGGTGAGAAGTTTGTAAACTTAATAAGTGAAACGTCGAATATGAAATAATCATGCAGTAGGCACAGAAAGTTAGCGCGAAAGAATCAAAAGATAAATAAATTTAATTAAAGCTGCGTGCGAGAGTGGTTTTTAAAGAAAGAAGAGTCGTGATTTCCTGGCAAAAATTCCGGCCTCGTCTGTTGCAGATTGTGGTCTTAGTCGAAGGACAGTCATCAAGGTACTGAGCCATTAGAAATTTAAATTTATAGATTTATAGGTTTATTTCGATGAATCTTGCCTGCAAATATACCATCACCTAGAAAATAAACTTATAATCCTAAAGAAGATAGTTTACAATCACAGCTAGTTGAGCGCTTAAACAATAATGATAAGAAAGACCTCTTTTCAGCTGCAGATCGCAAGTCAGATCGATCGTAACCGACTTATTGCTGTTAAATAAGTGATTGTACTAAGTAATTGACTGTCATTTCCGGTTGGCTGGATCCAGTTATTTAAGTTAAGTGCGAATTGGATTCAAATGCAGCACAAGACTGCAATTCAACTGCCCATACATCGCCGACCCCACTTGGATTGACCTGTGAGCTCTTCCTTATGGAGTTGTTCTTTAAAGAAGATGGAAAAACAACATTCATCTTTCTTTTGAATCACTCTCTGATCTGCAGATAGACGAACAACATGAAATATGGTTCTTAACACTAGTACTCGGATATCTATCGAAACACTAAAGACTGATGATATGGAGTTAATAATCGGTTTGATGTTTTTTCTTACCTGAGTGTTTCGCATGCACTGCAGAGCAAAAATCAGGAAACCCTGCAGCAGAAACGTGATATTAGGATCATTACTTTTTACAATATGCAAACAAACTAGTCAAATATCTATTAAGATTTCCAAGAAAGAAGGAAAATTGCATATCTCATAATTCAAAAGAGGTCTGTCTTATCTTGCCTAGTTAATAGCTTTTTGTTTTCAAAATTCCAAAAAAATATCATGTGAAAATTGTAACGATGTCTCACTTGGTTAGAAAATAAAATAATGATAGAGATTGAATGATTTTGAATGTTACCATCGAACACTGACCTGAGCAGAGTTAAGTATGGTGAAGATGTAAACGAAACCTTTATGTACAGGCGAGAAGAGACCGAATAGCCACGTGACACCCAGCAGGGGAATCATCACCACGTATGAGAGAACGAGAACATTGCTTTATCAAAAGAGAATATTGCTTTATTTTCCTTTGACAAGGATTTTTCAGTTTTAGATATCGTAAGGCTTTACTGATTAGGGAATGAAGAAGTTGGGCGAATAGAGCCTCACAGGAAGACATAGCAACCTCTTCCACTATTTTGTTATATTTTTATGATGTGAAACGTACCGTATTTGCTGAGAATAGTCTTCTTCCCTTGCTGGCTGCAACAAATTGGTCATCTCCTTTATGACTCGTACGAGTATCAAGATATTGAGCTGAAGAATACAATAAAAATAAATTGATTATTTAGATATGGTTATCGAATAGACAAAGCAGGAGAGGATCCTTTACAGAGACGTTACTAGTTTGGTAACAAGCTTAGGATAAAGAGTCATTTACAGGGAATAGAACTCTCAACCGGGGGACCTAGATTATGAGCTTCGATTATCAGACAATGAGCAAAGAAATCGCGAACTAAAGTGTCTAAACTGAATGACCCATGCAAAGTGAATCCTTATGTTAAATGACATAAATTTGATATCTCCTACTCCTCCTGCTTCTTTCATCTTGTTCAAGGTTTTAAGAGTTATTTTTGCACGAAAAAAATTTCTTGGTATATCAATGTGAAACAGTGAGAGAACATCAACAAGGAAGGGCAAGAATCTTTTTTCTCATACGATGTAGTAAAAGATGGAGAATTTATGAAGCTATCTTTTGCCTGTGAAGACATTGTCTCAACAGATTTCACTCGCTATTGAAAGCGGCCATCATTAAATTAAAATTGACCAGCATTCTCATAAACAGCAGCTACGTCCAAAGTTTGTTGTGAGTAAATAGGAAAAGGAAAATGGTAAATATTGCGTGGGGTCATATCATTAATATTTAATTCGCTTTTTGAAGAGCAGAGAAAAAAATGTTTAGCAGCAAGTAGTCCAGGTATACCAATCACAATCACCAACACTAATCATAAACTCACAACTTCAATGAAAGCCACAGAGGAGACGAATATCCAGATCAGGTTGTTAGTCGAGGAAAGCCAGCAACTAAACTCGAAGAAATGAAACACAAGAAAATCACACAAATCCTCAGCAAATGAAATGATACCGATTTCAAACTATATGCAAAAACAAACAAAAAAATAATGAATAGAAACGAATTAAAAGGAGAAGAGCAAGAAGAAACCGTTAAATTTTTTTCTTACTGTTTATTACTCGTATAGCTTTGTAACCCTTCTTTTCCAGCAGCGATGCCGAGTGAAATGGCCACCATGATCAGTGGAAGACCTACCCATATAGAAAGGAACGAAATCGAAACACCTTACTGCATGACAACACTAGATTTGGCGATCCGAAAGCATGGTGATAGTTACAAGTGCATGTTTTAAAGTAAAAAAAATTACTCCATGAGATGACATGATACATGTACATCTTGGTGTTGATGTTGTAAACTTTCACGACGAAGAGGTAGAGATAAATTCCCTCGATCAGCATCCAACAGAAAGCAGCCATCAAGAAATACTGCATCAGAGCTGCTACTGTAACACAGGCAGCCTGTGAAAAGAAAGAGTTTTCGTATACTTCTTAACGGTGCAAAGAGTAAACTCATTCTATAGACAGAAGGAGAGGCCACTGGTGAGGCCTTCCGGCGAGGAAGATGATCTGTCCAGCTCCAAGGGACGCAGAAACACTCAGTCGAATTTAAGAGAGAGGTTGACAAAGATCTCTGATGAAATAATAGTAAAAAAAAAAGAAAATAACGAATAAGACAAAAGCAAAAACGACAATAACAGCAACATACTGAAGACATGATTTGGTCAAACGTTCGTGATGGGGCATGAAATGTAGCTTGAATTGGTAAATTATCCAACATGCATGTTCTTGTTTGCGTGGAGAGTTGCATTGAGATCTCTCTTCTCTCCAGCCGTGTTAAGGAGAGTTAAGAATCTACCTCATTATTATTCAGGTACATTACTTACGTGAGCAAAGAATAAAGTATTAATGTTAAAAGTATCCCGACGATAGAAAGGCTCAGTCCCGCGTAGGTGATAACTTTCAGAATTGTTTCGTCCTCCTCGGTGAGCTGTGTCAAAAAAAGAAAAATTTAATGGCAATATTAAGTTAGTTCATTGAGCCCATAAAATTATTGAGTAAGGCAAAAAAAATTTTGTTACCTTTTTGCTACCGTCGTAGTCCATTAAGACGGCAAAATGCGTCAAATGATTGCAGCTGCAGATTGTTTCGTCTGAGTTGCTTTTTGATGTAACTACATGGCATCCTTCCTCTGAAAAGCTGTCGGACATGAAAAAAAAGTAAAGTTAAAAAATTTTCATAGTTTGGTGAAGAGGTGATTGACAATTTTGCGCTAAGATTTTCTTCCATTGTAGTCATAGCTACGAGAACATTTCAATCAGACATCCCCTCTCTAAAAAACGACAACATGTTGGCTTCCGGGAAAGTGATCATCTGCGTGAAAACATCTGAGAAAGTTCATTCACTCTCCCCCATACTTAATTTAAATTAAGAAGGAATAAATACAATACAATAACATATTGTAGTTTTTACCTTTTGTTGAGGCCACTCCAAAACATACAGCGCTTCTCCACAGTCAAGACCTGAAAATGGATTTTATCTTGTCAGAATAAATCAAAACAACTTATAACAACTAATTTTCATGTTATCTTTAGGTTTTTGAACTTTAGGATGACATTTTCTCGCAATGTCTCTGGCTTGGGGTCCATAGTAACGGCCATTATCCTGGAGTTGATATACCTATGAAGAAATTGTATTTGCAAATGGACCAGAACCAAGGAAGTAATATTACATATTTTTTGTAGATTCAAGCAAATATTTCATGAAGTGGAATGGTTAGAGACAAGCAGGGAGTCTTCCAACCCTAGTTAGGGTTTTTGGAAAGTTTATCAGTTCAGTTAAGTTGAACTTAGATCTTATGTGTTTCCGTGTTATGTTTTTTTGGAGGTAAACGACATGGAGTAATATGAAAATAACGGCACCTTTGGTTGTCTGTTTCACTCCTGATGGCTTGATCTGATCTGTCAGAAGTAGGTCATGCAGATCCTTGTACACACACACAATCACCATTGATCCTTTAAACCCCCAAGGATCAACAAAAAAAAACAACATTGAAATTTTTATCAGGTTCTGAGGTATGTGACATTTTAGGGAAGGCGAATGATTAAAGAAGATAGACTATGTAAATTAAGGAGACGCATTTATATGAGGCTTTATTCCAATACAGAAATTTCGATTTGAGAAACCAAGGTAATACTAAAAGTTGTAAAGTTACCACAATAGTTCATACGAACCATTTTCCACAACATTTGAAGAAGCGATATCGATTCTCGCTGGCCATTGTCGTTCCTCAAAGTGGAAGCCACTTGCATTCTGGCGATAGGCTTTTTGAATGACCAAAACTGTCGGAAAAAAAAAGACAAATGAAAGCACTTGCGGTGAAATTTGCAAAAGCACATCTACACAAATATGCGTTTTGCGATGTACACAAATATTTCATAATCTTATTGGATGGACGTGTATTGTTTGTATCTTTTTTGCCCTTCAACGACTATTCGACGATTTCAACCATTTATAAAACGTTTTTCAATGTAAAACTGATGAAAAAGTGAGTAGCAGTGGACGGAATAAAATTTTCAAAACTCAATTCGTTCCTCGAACCGTCTCTTTGGAGAACTATAGAGTTCGTTGAGTAGTTTTTACATGTACGGTTAAAAATCTTGCATTTATATGCATCGCAGACGATAGGCCAATTTTGAGCTTAGTCTACTCTATGAAGTAATCGAAAAGTATTTGTGAGGTCTGGCAATTTGGTAAAGTGTTACTCACCAATCTATTATTTAAGAAAAGTTTGAATAAACAGAGCGAGACGAATGGTTTCACAATTTCAAAGACTCCGATTCTCTCTTGTTGATTGTTCAAGAATACCTTGAATTTCCTTCCCCACCGCGATAAACCAAAGTGTCGAACAAAGTAAAGGAACAGATGAATCGATGACATCCAACAATAATGTTTCTAAAAAGTTGGGCTTACAACTGAGTTCTTACATTATCTAGCTCTAGAGAATTAGACCACTCATTCGGTCAGTCAGCGAGTCAGTAAGCAACAAAGGAACAGACTTTGAAACTAAACGGGCTTGCAATTGAGTGCCGCAACCTCACCCATTAATGGGGAAACAATCCTTTCTGAAGTCTTCATTTTACTCTGGTGTCGCTTGCTATAATTAAGAGCAAATTTTTTTGACGGCCTCTGCCACCTCAAAGATGGATTTTTTTCAGTGTTTTATCTTCTTTCACGCTGGCCTTGTCTTTTGTGAAGTTCTTGATTTTTATGGCGAAATCTTCAAACACAGCTACCGCTTCCTACAATTACATAAAATATTTCCATGTCATTGACTAGCGAGTTTCATATATACAATTCATATCAAAGGTGCGGAAAAAGTCCAGCAGGAGGCCCCAAATGGTGTTCAGGGTATTCATTGGCCAAAGAACTCTTTTAGGAGACTAGATTAATTTTTAAGCCTCTCCATTCTCACCTCATATGGCTTGAATGGTGGTTTATCCTTAAAGGTTACATATTTATAGGTTATTTCACGATTGGTGAGCGCGTACGATTTTCACACAACGAGTGAAAAAAAATTGTACGAGCGACCTAACAGTCAAATAACTTATTTAATATATCCATAACGAGATTCATAGGCGAACAGAACTCAAACTCAAACTCAAACTCAATAGGCGAACAGAACTCTTTGTTTTCTTTCTAAGGAAAACAACGCACGGTCAAGCCGCTTCACAGTTCAAGGGCTGTATTTAAATGGCTTCTTGTAAAATACTTTACATTTAAATTATCAAGCAAAAATGCCGTTAAAAGGCAGAACTAGTTGGAATAAAATAAGACATTCTGAAAATATGTCGAAATAGTTCTACGGAAGTTCTAAATTTGAAATACAGAAGCGAAAACCCGAAACTCTTGAGGAGTCAGTTCGTCCATTTGTTTCGTCTCGCCTTTCAAAACAAGAAATTAGTGGAACAGAGCAACATCGTGTTTGGTCTTTTTTTTGGTGTTTTCATTTTCCTGTCCGTCTCTGAACTCTTCTACTGACCAATCTAGGCTCTGGAAATGGTTAGCCTCATATGAAGCCATCTTTCTACAGAAAAATGCGCCTAAGCTCTTAGAATGTGCTATTTGTCAGTCAAGAGGAACAGCAAGCGAGCGACACGGTTTTGTTCACCAGCAAAATAATGATACAGCCATTGGGAGCGTCTATACGTCGTTTTTCATTGGTGAAAAAAATCGTAAGACCAATCAGCTGGCTTCTTTAGCGCGAAGAGACTATTTTTATCTCGATGCTTTTTAGCGTGTAAATCTCGCTATGTATATAATAATTACTTTTTATCGTTGATATATGAAAGTTAAAAAACCTTTAAGTTATGAACATTGGATACCTGTGTGGAACTCTTTCTGGTAATAGTAGTTTTGAAACATACTCCTTTGCCTAGAATTAAAAAAAAATGTGTGTCACAGAGAAGGTCCTGAAAAGTGACATGCATAAAAACGGTAAATGACTATTTAGAAAACATACCAGCTGCCGCGGCGACGGCGACGGCGACGGCGACGGCGAGGGCAAAAATGCGGACGGAAAGTAAATGCACTCGATGTTTTGTTAGTTAAACAAAACACTGTTATTGTTTCCTTTCTACTATTTTAGTCGTTCGCACACGCCTCTGGTGATAGATGCTTAGATAAAGCTTTGGGATGTTTTTCGAAAAGTAGACTAGAGAACGATATGTTTTCTGTAGAGTTTTCCCTAGTAGCTGAAAAATCTGTAAGACAATATTTTAGTAGCCTGGTCCGTGTTTGTAGACAACCTGCTTTTTATCACGTATTCGAACCAGATTATCCAACATTACGTTGTAAGGGCAAAAATGCGGACGGGAAGCGGAGTAACAAAATGGCCGCTATGAATGATCAAAACTCTTAAATCCACTCGATTGATTATACAGAGCACTCTCATTGTTTCCTTTGCATTATATTCGTCTTTCGCACACGTCTGGTATGATCAATGCTCAGATAGGGATGTAAGATGTTTTTCAAAAATACTAGTAAATGAGGTAATAATGCAATAACACATTCCTTAATCACTGGTTTAACGTATAATACGAGCACACATTTTGCCCAGTTTTTGTCATTTCCACTCGCCCCTACGGGACTCGGGAAATGCCACGCAATTCGCAAAATATCCGCGCGTATTAATTGTTAAACCACCGTGCATGACGTATTAATTTCTTATTTTATCTTGCGCTGTTTGCCAAAAATTTACCGACCCTTTTTGGATTTTTCGGTTTAACTTTGATCGTCTCGCTGGAAAAAAAAGCCTTCTGGTATAATTATTTAGTTTTCGTGTAACAACGGTTTGTTTGTTTATTTTTTCTAACAGGTACACTTTCAGGAAAGCTTGGGAAAAAGGCAACCCTGATTTTGTAATTGAAAAAAGCCTAATTTCTAATCGTTGAGAGTATCAAAAGCACTGTTGTTGGTGCTTCAAAGTATCGCATACGATCAAATGAAAAAAAAAATCGTCAAATGGCTAGATTACAGGCAGCTACAATCAAGGATTGTCGTTTGGGAAAATACAGAGTGCATAAATATCAGCTCATATATAAAACGCGGAGGAGGTTCTGTCGAAGCCATCTCTTTCCTGGCTGAAAAAAGACTGCCTCGCTGTTTCACGCATCGGCTCTGCGTGTGTTTGTTTTAGTCGGAAGACAGTGCTTGCGGTTTATGATTTAATTCATTTTGATTGGTCACCTGTTCATTATCGGAAATGCAGTGAGGCACAACTAATCAAGGAGTGTTTTGCTTTTCAACATTCTCCTCAGGCAGGGGTCTTCCCGCCTTTCCCACGCCCCTTACGGGGCGTGTATCTTAACCGACATGAGTCATTAGCTCTTCACAAAAGATAGCAAACTTCACATCATCATGCACTATTATCTAACAAAACAATTGGACTGATGATTCTTTGCAATTAGTATTTATCATCATTTTATTCAATCGAAAGGTTAAATTAACTACATGAAAATAAATGATAACTGACAGTTTTATAACTGTTGTTACTCGCAATACTGATAGTAACAAAACAATCTGTAACATTCCTCTGCTCCCAAGGTAAAAACTAGACATGTTTGTCGCGAAAACGTTCACTGAGACTATTTCAAACATATTTTCACCCATGCAAATTTAAGAGCAAACTCGACCCTGAGAGGGTTATATAAAGGGTCAGAAGGTTTATATAAATTCTGTCGTGAGTATCACAAACGGTAGCAAAGCATATTTTTATTACGCCGAAGCGTTTATGATGCCTTTTAGTTTATTGAAAATAATGTTAAAAAAAAACTTGCCCTTGGAAATCTCACAAATATAGGCGGTTAGGTTTCCCCAACGTGTACGATTAACGTTACTAAACACGCCCCGTTCGCCATTACTGGACCGCTTGTACATGAAAGCTACGTCGTGTTCACCACTTGGCTCCCCTTGTCCCCATTTGCTAATAGTCAGCGGTTTTCCACTCACCCAGGTCCAATTCCCGGCCTTTTTAATTAAACCAATACTACATTTATTTCCATAGTTCGTTTCATTTCGCCTTTGAATTTCGTTATTGATGAAATTCCATTCTTCTTCGGTTTCGATGGAAATTAGGTCCCTCCTTGCCTTTTGCAGATGACTCTGTTCACTTTCCAGGA